GAACGAAGAGCTCCTCGGGGACATCAGGACTCTTGCTCTGCCGACCAATGCCATCTAGTCTGGCTTGGTCCTCCTTTTCCACATTTCGGATCAGAGCCCTGGCAGCTTCAACCTCGTCGATTCCAGGGCGTGGCGGCAGAGATCTGTGAATTCTCATGATCTCCTCCACCGCTTCGTCTGTGGAGTGCACGACGCAGGATTCAACCATGGTGTCAGTGTTTGTTGATTGTTGTACGGAGGAAATTCCTGAATTGAGGGGGGGAGGACAGATTTCACCAATTCAGAAGAAGAGAGACAATTAATTCTGATTCTGATTCTGTTTGCTATGATATAGCACTAAACAGTTCAGGGAAAAGAAACCCAGATTGAGATCATCCTACACACAACACAAGAACACAAAACCGAGTGAAACAAAGTCAATCGGGATTCTCAATTCTGGCATATGCAACAATTTGCCATTTCTATTTCTATTAGTAGAAGAAGAATTTAGACAACACCACACAATACAATTACAAACCATGGATCATACTAGTTGTTTCTTGTACTAATATTACTAGTTAAATCTGACTGGATTAATCTAGATAAGATGGTTTGCCAGAATGACCAGAAAAATGAAAAACTCTTGTAACAGTCACAATCAAAACGACGCCCTTGACGACCAAATTACTACTAGTAATATGTTTTGTTTAGACAAATTCAGATCCCTTCCTTCCTTCCTTCCTTCCTTCCTTTCCCCTATCCCAAAAGAGAAATTGAACACCAGCACTAATAATAAGTTTGAAAGACGGAAGTTAAAAGGACCTTTTCATCAGTGGTGGTAATATTTTAATAATAAAATAAAAATACAAGTAAGCAGAGCTAGGGGTGAGGACTTAGGAGTTAGGGAAAAGAGAGGGGCAGAGAGGGCAGCGCCAGCAGTTTCTTTGTTTGTGTAATGGGGAGAGGCAAGTGACAAATCCAGAGTCTGTTGTGGCATCTAAGAAATCCAGCTGTTTCCATGCTCTGCTGCTGCTTCTTCTGCTTCTTCTCCCTTGGCGGAATCTGATTTTTATATTACTCTATTATTATTGTTATCATCGGTAAGCAAAGGTAGGACTAGTATTTATTTTAATGGTGAAAGAAAGAATTACCACCGGTGTTTAGGAGTAGTGCCTAGCCTCTCAGGCCTCAGGTGGGAGTGGTTATTTTACCAACAAAAAGAGGCAAAAGTTTTACTCTTCTTGCCACCGTTCCTAGTCCTATAAATAATGGATGGAATGATAAGCGGCTGCAGTAAATAACTAGTGGTAAACTAAACTAAAATGAAGATATTTGATAACGTGACTGACAATAAAATTTTGATACAAAAATTATTATAGGCGTGAACTGGATTATGACTCATCGGTTATCTATAGCATCTACTTTGATTTCCATGTGTCTTTATTTGCAACAGCAATGCAATTGCTGCCTGCTGGAGGCATATATCAATTTTGTTAATGTCTAAGAGACTAACAACAATTCAACTGACACATCACCTCATGGGAACTTATTGACTATTGAGAAGCAAAGCAAAATGCAGTAACAATATGCTACTGCTTATTTGCTAGTATAGTATTAGTATCTCATGTCAGATGATATTTGCTACTACATTGAAGTATTACTATGTTATGTCATAATGATGTTTGCTGCTACGTGGATGTAGTAATTATAGACCTTGACGGCTTTTAACACGAGATAAAAATGGTATAGAATTTAGTGGATTATGGGTGTGGAGTTTAAAGTTTTCCTATTTAGTATATTAATTATATTGACATGTTTAAAACATGATATATAAATAAATAGTTACATATTGTAAATATATTATACTCACTTAAGCTGTTTAGTTAGTCAAGTTACTTAGTCCATCTATATGACATGTTTATGAACTTGTTTAATTCACATTTAAATAAGTTAATTATGTTTAAATAGATTGTAAATTATGTTATTTTATATAAAATTATTTTTTTAATAAATATATTAATCGTATCATGTGTTGTGTAATACTTTTGGCAAACATATCAGTATATATATATCTAAATCACTATCACCTTTAATTAATAATACAATATTTATATTCATTCATAGAGTTATTAATATTTTATATTTACAACACAAGAATAAGATAAAGTGAACATAAATGGTTAGGAATAAGTAACTCGTTAACATAGGATGGGCGTAGGCGTCAGTTGCATACTATTTCTGAGAGAGAGAAGGAGCGTTAATGCAGTGTCTGAGATGTAGGGGACACGTGTTGGGCTGATGTCCAAAAATGTCCGCCCAACTGTCTCCAGCTGGCAAAAGGGTAGTCACGCCATAACCGTTTTCTGATGGGAAGGACTGAGAGAAGCTTTTGGCCTTGGGCTTCTTCCGCCTTGCATTTTTTTTTTTTTGAGAAAAAAAATTCTCACCTCAAGGATGGCATTGCCTTACTATTGGAGATAGAGAAGATAAAGGCCTAGTCTTAAAAATAAATAAAGAAAATAAAATATTACATCATCTCCATCGTTCCAGAATCCATTCTCCAACCTTCAGTCACGAGCCACGGCTTCAGCCTCACTCACGTGCTGTGCTCTTTACATGGCTCTCGCCAAACCGCCACGCCACCCTGCGTCTCTCTCTTCTCTGCCTTTTTTCTTCAAAAAAACAATTAATTTCATTTTCTGGCTGTCCTTGCCCTCAAGTTTCTTTCTGCCCAAAGCCCATGCATCCATCTTCCCATTCTGCACCACCACCAGTACCACCTTCCTCCCTATCGTTTTTGCTTTATTTAGAAACAACATTATACCAGTACCATTAAGAAATCCGGTGACTTTTGGATTACAATATACAAATACATTCTGCCTTTATATATATATATATATATATAGATTAACTCAGAAGTATTATATTTAATTACATAATTTACACTAAATCTGATGACAACATAAAGATTAAGAAAACAAATCCAATATAGATTTGACAAACTCCCATTTGCTTTATTTATCATTTGAGATCACAATTTATTCATCCAAATGTACATCTGATCTCTTACTGGCTACTGGATTTCAAACGATAAGCTCATGGTTTGGGCTGCGTCTATGGACCCTGGAGGTACACTCTATATGCCCACACCCCACTTCTAGGCCCAATATGCTGGCACCTATTGAAGGCCTAATACGCCTTTTACCAAAATTTATTTTTCAACAGCTAAAAAGTTATTCCCCCCACCCCAAAAACACAAAAGGCCAATACGTTATAGAGCTTACGCTAAATTGTTATCAACAAGTTCAATATACAGACTTAAAAGGATCAACATATTTGGTGAACTAGATTATCATTTGTATATTTATCTATACTTTTGATAATATTATTATCATAATTTGTATATTATTGACAACGTCTTTGTTTAATAAAATTATAAAATTTTCAAATTAAAATGTGATTATCATGAGTTTTGTAGAAAAAAGATATTAAAAATTGTAATTGAAGATTACTAGACATGATGATCACAGCATTAAGTTAAAAATATAATTAATTGTGAATTAAAAAATGATTATTTTCTTAAAAGATTAAAAGTTTTTAGCTTTAGCATAATTTTTTTTAAAATTTTTTAAATATGATTAGATTAGATAATTAATAATTAATGAAGAGTTTATTAAATATATCGTAATATGTATAATAAAATATGGGCTAATATTTAATATCACCTCCAACTTTTGGTCAAAAAAAACAAATGTAGAACGAATGCGTTAAATAGGGGAGCTGACTCGCGAGGGTTTGGGCTGTTGGAGGAAGGAGCCCTCGTTCGCCGACTCTCTTACAAGTTACAACAGCTGCGGCAGCAAGAAGAAGAAAAGAAAGGGCCTATCGCTCCCTCTGTCTCTATCCTTCTATCTATCCCTGCCTCGTCTCTGGTAAATAGCAGAGAAGACAGGCGGCTTATCCTTAATTTGCTGGTATCTGATTTGTCTTGCTTTGGTTTGTGTAATCAGAAAAAGAGAAAAGGAAAAATCATGTTTGGAAATTTGAAAAGGTTTTTGGTGCGGTTTCAGGTAGAAATAAAAAGCATGGGACTGGAGTTGCCAAAATATCCGGAGATGGAGGAAGACAACTTCGTCAACTTCACGGATTCTGAAATAGTTTCTCATGTGAAGGATGCTCTCACCTCTGTCCTATCTGTAAGCACACTGCGGACAAACTCTTCCTATTTAATCTATTGTTATTGTAGTAGTCGTTCCGTGCCAATTACTATTAGAACTTATCAGTTGAATTCTTTTTCAGGGTGATAGCAACAGTTATAACCAGCTTGTTGGGGTCATGCACCATTCCAAGCATCTTGCTCCTGATGAGGTCGCCTTACTTGAGGTATCTTTCTTTCGTTTAATCACCAAACACCCTTGTGTCCCATGTCCTTAATGCTCCCCCACTTTTCTTTTTCTTTTATTCAAAAACTCTAAGCTTAATTCCCTCTTCCCATTTGTGAATTATGCATCACAGACTACTTTAAAGGCACTAGCTGGTGCAGTATCATGTATAGACACTACTCTTCATGACTCCCTTCTTTCTGCTGTAAGTTGTCTTCATTCATTTTCATTTTCAGCTTACCTTCTTGTGTTCCCTCAACTTACTTGTTCCTAGGCAATTTTTCCAGATTTTTAGTATGAGCATGTGGAATTATGGGCCTCATGTTGCGGATGCACTGGCCGAACTCATTGTATCCCTCGTATGTGCAACTTACATCCCCTAGCCTCATTTTATAATTGCCTTTTTTATTTTTAAATTATGTTCATTTACATTCCCATTGCAGGCTATTTCAAATGGAAAATATCTTGATTTATGTCTGGGTATGCTTGTCAGCAATTTTACCCCTCCACCTTATTTCTTAGATAAACTAAAACTGCCACGCGGTCTTGAGAGGAAGGGCCAAGTTCTTTCTCGGGTGCATGCGGCTTTTAAAAAGATTTCTGATTATATTCCTCTTGCCCCTTTGAGATTATCGAACATTGTTCTCCAAGGAATGCCAACAATTTATCATAAGGACCGAGTAAGTCTTGTGCTTCCAATTTGGAATTCAGATATCTTTTGACGTTCTAATTTTGTACTTTACTGTCTGGAAAAGTCCATGTTCTTATGGTTTTTGCTTATGCAATCAATTTTAGCCCCTAGCTGGGTAAATATGTAAGATACCATTGTTCCACTACTCGATGTCTGGTTAGTTTGGTGAAGTTCCTAAATGCAATTCCCTATACAATTTTGTTATTCATTGCCTCCTTTTATTATTTAAATGTTTTAGATGATTACAGCTTAAACTTGTTCCTTGTCCTTGAAGGCTATTGTGATTTATGTGGAAAACATGTTAAACTTGGAGTGTGGTGAAATTGGAGAACTTGTAGGAAGCACAATGCTTATGGCAGTGGTGGATCAGCTTATAGAACTAGATGTAAGTAAATTGAAGTTTCTTTAGAATTTTATGCTTGAAAATTTTGTTTGGCTTTGTAGGTCATATGTAACGTATTGGAATTTCTTATAGCTGGAGATTGGATGGGATGCCATTTTACAAGATGACTTTAGTAAAGGCATATTTGAGATGGAGCTAGAAGACGTGGATGAAGTTGAGGAAAGTGCTGAGCAAGACACTGGAGAGGTATAACCAACAAGCTTTTCTTTGAAGTGTGCATGTGATGTCCCAAGGTGGCCAAATAAGTAGGGTTAATTAATTATCGGACATCCTTGTTCAAGTTAATATTTTTTAACATCTAGTAACCAATTTATGATTATTTAATACGCACAAGCTGTAAAACTGATGTAGAGTTCAATTTGCAGTTTCGATTAAGCCGTAAGAGTCTGGCTGGAAACAGCATTGCTGAATTGTTAGATAACCTACTGGTTTTAACCTTTGAACATCTCGAATCCTGTGAAAGAGCTGGCCGCTTGGCTAAGGTATTTTCTGATGTTAATGTTTTCGTCTCCCCCCCTCTCCCCACACCTCTTCCTAATTCCTGTCTTAATTTGTTTAATTGCTGTTATAGGTGTTTGAAACTCTTCTCCAGTCTTTTCAGATAACTGTTATGAGTGCCTACAAGTCAAAATTTACTCAGGTAATGCTTATTTGTCAGTATCTAGCAGTTTATGTTATTTTGTTTCTCAAGGTTTCTGTTGCTATTCTTGATGAAAATCATAATTTATTCATTTATATATTTTTGCTTAATACCAGCATTGAGACCTGCTTGACTTGGCTAGTAATTTATCTGGTGTTTTTACACCTAATGTTTGCAGTTTGTGATGTTCTATGCTTGTGCACTAGATCCTGACTACTGTGGCATGAGATTTGCCACAATGCTGGCAGATTTATTTGTTCAAGACTCACATCCACAACCAATCAGGTAATTTTAGTATTATCAGAAAGAGTTAATGATTGTTAGCTTTGCCTTTTAAGTTGTGGGCATATACTTCTTTGATGTTTAAATATACCTACAATTTCATTCATGTATTCTCCTGCTCTACTTGTTCCCCCCTTTTTTTTCTTCTCTTCTTCGTGTGTGTGTGAGTGACTGAGTGCTTATTGCACTACATACATGGGGTTGGGCATCTGGGACCTTGTTCTGGCACATTTTAAATGAAGCACCAACATTGAGCAGCACATTGTATGGCATGATTTTGTGTTCTTTCATACATATGACGACAAGACATTGTCATCTTGTTGCCTAAAAAATATAAACCTATTTCCAAATGTTTTCCCAGATTGAGTCCACTGTTTGGTTTGAAAATTAAGAAAAAGAAAGTCACTTGTACGTCATTCTTATTGAACAATTTTCTTGCTTTTTTCCTCTTTAGGTCAAATAGGTTGGTATTTTTATCATGACCAGTTGCTTTTGGATTGAAATTTAATAGGGTGAAGTTAATTGAGCTGATCTTTACACCTTTAAAGGTCCCCCTTAACCCTTCCTTTCATCTGTGCGCTGGATAGAATATAGAATAGGAATTGCTTAAAAGTTAAACTCTTACAAGTATATATAATAGAGGCTACAACATGGGTGGTGGCATCATTTCTTATGCTTATTGAATTTCTGCTTTATGCAGGATGAGTGCTGTGGCTTATCTTGCTAGCTATTTATCTCGAGCAAAGTTTCTGTCAGCCTCTCTTATTTCTAGCATGCTAAAAAGGTAGTACATCATAATCCTTGTGATCCATTTTCATTAACTGACTTCTAGCACTGTTTTGACAACTTAGATGGTGTGCATGAAAGTGTGGATGTTTATCAGTAATATTGTATATCTTACTTTTATGAAATTTAGGTTGGTGGATTGGTGCTTGGAATACTGCAAAACCCATGATGGTGATATAAATCCAAATGCACATCGAGTTTTCTATTCTGCATGCCAGGTTGATGTTCTTACTCTTGAAGGTTCATACTTCACTGAAACAACAGATGCGAAGACATGCAACAGTTATAAAATTGTTTTGAGAAAAAAAAAAAAGGAAGAAGTGTTAAAGTATTATTTGCAGTTGGATTGCTTTGCTTTTTTGTTGGGCTGAATTTATTCCTAACATGTCGCAGGCCATTATGTATGTTCTCTGCTTTCGTATGAAAGTTTTCATGGATGTTCCGCGCTTGAAGATGCAGCTCCTCATGCCAATGGAGCAAATCTTAAAGCATAAATTGAATCCTTTGAAGGTAAGGAATTGCTTTGTTGCATGACCCTAAATTTCATAATGATAACAGCCAGCAGGGAAGCTAGTCATTCTTAAATCTTTTTATTGATTCTAAGGAGTCTTTGTTACCCGATTTTAATTTTTTTATGTCACATGAACGGGGCTAAATCCCTCTCAAATATTAGTTTGATTGTCCACTCTAATCCCAGTAATCTATCATAAACAGGTATGCCTTCCGTCTGTAGTAGAGGAGTTTCTACGACAATCAAAAGCAGCTTGTCTGTTTACTGTGTCCAAAACGTTCATTTTTGATGGCCTGCTAGAGTCGGAACTCTCAAGGGCTTTTGGTGGCCTGGAAAGGCTTGATACATTCTTTCCTTTTGATCCATGTCTGCTGAAAAGATGTGACAGGTTTGTATTCTTTCATTTGGGAATTATTTGGTATCAGCTTTATTTTCTTTAGTTTGAATCCTATAAGAAGGAGAGAGAGAATACTGACAGTGGCCTCAAGTATGTCAGACTTCTGAGGGAGTTTGGGCAGCCGATATTGTTTCAGCAATTGGGGTTGCTCTTTTAAAAAGGGTTAATGGGAGAAAATATGGGAGGCTAGAAATGATCACTGTATGTTATGCGAGAATGTTTGGGGAAAAAGCAAAATCAGTATCTTCTACAGTTTATGAATTTGATTTAAGTGATGAAACTATCCTTGTTTTGTTTTGTTCTGGAGTGCCCAAATAGTCTCTTAAGCAAATGATGGTTTATCTTGTATTTTCATAATTGGGTGAACTTAACAATTCCTGCATTTCTTTGTAATGAAAATATATACTGAGTGCATGAGTGCATCGTGCTTTTTACTGCTTTGCTGACAAAATGCTATTTTTCTGGTTCTTTCTTGCTGCTGTAATTCCAAAATGGAAGTTTCATCCGCCCAATGTTTGTCTTCTGGTCAATGGTAAAACCAACGTACGATGATGCTTATGATGACGACAATGATGATGGCAGCAGTGATGATGAATTGATTCAGGATTTTGTAAATGAGAATGAGGATATTATGGATGATGGGGTTGCTAGGAGCTTTGATGACCAAGGACTTGATCTTGATGAATTTGACTGTGCATTGAAGAAAATGTCAATCACACCGAAGAATGGCTTTAGTTACAAGTTTGGTGGTGGATTTCAAGAACCAACAAGAATGCCTTGTAGAATTAGGCCATCGACAAGTCCAGAGTCCTTATGATTCTCAGGTGATGTATGTATGTTCCAGAGAGAAAAATTGCAGTTGATATACAAAGGGGATGCTGATGAGCTGATTCCACAAACAGAGTTGGAGCCAGAGCAACGAATGCTTGCTATTGCCATGCTTGAAAGTTTTAGAAGTTGTTTTTTAGGGTATTCTGAGCTTCTTGTTCACTAGAATTTTACTTTTAACTGATATCATGTTAAAATTAACTAAGGAGCTGGTACAATTTACGGATAGCATACATTTTTTTATCGGCATTCAATTAGCTGAGTGTACAACAACGACCTTTCTGATGAAAATATGAATATTTGCCACTCTCTACATGATAGTGAGTCCGATGGTTATTTATTAATCGAGAGAGGTGCAGAGGGGACTGCTTCAGTTATTTATTAATGAACATAGAGGTTCACGTACAGGCCAGGCAGATCTTTTTTCTTTGGTTTTACAGTGTAGAATTAGTAATGAAAAGTAGTCATAATTGGTTACTGGTATCTAATTCCATCCCCATTTCCTACAGAGACTCAGTAAACAACTTTAGTCAGAGTGCTAAGCCCATATTTCACACCCAAATCCCCAAACCATATCAACTAGGTGTCAAGTGAGAAACGAGTCGGTGAGGGTTTGATATTACAAACTTTAAACGAAAATTGATTTGCCCAAAAAATTAATAATAATAAGAGCAAAACAAAGAAAACAACCCATCACGGGAACCAAACATATCTCTAAATGTTGTTTCTTTATTCTTTTGCACCTTAAAAGGCAAAAATTAATCCATAGTCCAAATAGTCAGCTTTAGTCTCAAAACACGAGATCCCTCTATATTAATAATAATGGTAGTAATCACAAATAATAGGACTAGATTTTAGTCTGCTACAGCGGACTCCAGCCTCCTGTCTGTTGTACCAGCCATCTTGAACTGAGGCTTGGAAGGGAAAATGAAAACAGTAGATGCAGCAATAGAGGGCTGCATTTGAGCTGAGTATCTCACAGATGCCACTGAAATTCTGGGCAACTGTTGCAAACCTGAGGCAAGAGGCACTACTTTGTAACAAAGGATGTGCTCAGATTTTGGAAGAACAAACACCGTGTCATTGTGAGACCCAGATAACACAAAACTCTGTGAATCTGCCAATGAAAACTTAACCTCTTGAAGCAACTCTGTTTTGTTAAGAATTTTGATACAGTACATGAAGGGATCTCCAAGGATGGCATAAGGAGGACAATCCGAACTCACAACTAATGGTGACAACTCTATATGTACAACAGGAAGTTTGTGTGTAGTTAAAACCTGAGCATCAGCCACCGTCAAATCAGTTCTATCTTCAATTCCAGAATGCCTCTTCCATCTTAGATACACTGTCCCCAACATAAGCTTTGAAGAGACCACCTGAGGAATGATGGTGAAAACCTTCTTGAACTCTTCTCCCGGCACAAGCGCAGAGCCGAGAAGATCTTCACCTCCATGTTGAATGGAACATGACTCAATGCCATCATTATCAACTTCAATAGACATGGATAGCAGCTGCAATGTGACCTCACTGCAGTTCTTCGCACTAACGATAAGCACAGTTGCTTCATGCAGGGGTAGTGATGCCAACTGATCTGAATCAGGGACAGGCTTGATCCTTGAAAGCAACAATGAATCCCTGCGGAAGGGCAGCATAAAATGGTGGCTAATTAAAACAGCATTCTTTCCTTCAATTTGCAAGGTCTTGTGGACATTGACCTTTTGTGCATTCAACTCATTGTTATTAGGGGAATAGCCCAATG